ATGGAAAAAACTAATTTAGTCCACCATCTCTATTGTTAGAGGTGCAGATTGTTTTGGGATTCTCATTTTCAACAAATCATGATTGATGCCATCTCAGGTGAGACCTTCCGAAGTGGACAAGATGGCGTTTGAAGTGTGAGCTCTTTATTAGGGATGGACCCTAATGAACCGTAGAGGGAAGAAGCAGCAGTGGGCAAGGCAGAAGCTGAAGAGGCCTGCCGTCTTTACAGAAACCACATCTATGGAAAGGGCCCAGCAGAGTTGTCCCTTACTGGGTTTTTAGAACCTCATGTCACTCAGTCACCAGTGAGCGCTGCTGTGGGAAGGGCATGCTCTCTGGTGAGGCTGTGCCCTGCAGCTGAGGCAGCCTCAAAGGTGCTGACAGATGGAAGCCCTGAGCTCAGCAGGTTCCTCCTCTAAAGGGAGGTTTGGGTCGTGCCTCTGTGTGTCCACACCACAGATGCTCATTGTGTGCATGTATCTTTTCTCATCGCCTTAGGATACATTCCCAGAAGTGGAATTGTTGCAGTAGAGCATGAGCATTTAGAACACTTTTACTATTTATTGCCAAATTACCTTTAAAAAAGAGTGTACCGCTTTCTCCCACCAACATCTCATTTTATCACTAGTGGATAAGAACATGGCAGTTGTACTGTGTTAAGTATTGAAAGATACTCAAATTTCTTTGAAAAATAAATAATGTTCTTGATGTTTTATCACTGTGATTTTTATTTTAAATTCCCAAGGCTGGTTATCTTTCTCTAGAGAGCTGTATACATCTTTCCAGAACAATAAAACACTCTAATGACTGATGTTAGGGTGCAAAGAATTGGACTTGGATCTTCTGAGTTGCAAATCTGCAATACTACAGAGGCAAAAATGGCTGTTGCCTGAGCTGACTTGAAACAGAACCTGCAAGATCTTACAGCTCTTTCTGTGTCTTTGAGAAAACAAAACAAATTCCTATTTCTTAGGAAAAATCCATGTTTGACAACTACTGTTAGAGAGAGAGAGAGACTATTGGGAAATAAGTATCATTTATTGAGCATCTGCTTCATGCCAGCATTGCCCTGGGCTTGTACACACACCATTATATTTAATCCCCATATGAATCCTTTGAAGTAGTTATTATTACCACATTTTTTTCAGACAAGGAAACTAAAGCTCAGAGAGTTTGGTAACTTGGTAACCTTAGTCATTCAGATTCCCAAGCCTGTGCACTTCTTAACATCCTGGGATGCTGTCCCCAAAGCTGTAAGTCAAGTTATAGAGCAGCAGCATTAATAGTGTAATATATCTACATAGTAACTATAGTAACAACAACTCACATGAAGGTTGAGGAACGTCTGTCTTTCTACTGGACTGGAAGTGTATGGGGTTTAGTGTCTAAAAGTCTTTTTTTCGTTCTTCTATCACTTAAGACACCTAGCCCTTTATATATATGTATATATGGTGCTCACTAAATATTTCACAGAACAGATCATGAATAGCCAGAAAGAGAAAAATATCTTCCCACTTTCTTTTATGCTGTTGTCCTCATTTTAGGTTTGATCTGATCACAGTGTGGCCAGGAGGCAAAGAAATGTTCTTGCCAATGGCCTGACTTCAGCAAAAACAATTCTCAGCTCTTCTAAACAGATGCGTTTGTTACAGACAGTGCCAATGAAAAAAGGGTTGAATGAGAATAAATCTAATAAAAATTATTCTCTAGTGGCCAATAGACATGTGAGAAGATGCTCAACATCACTAATCATCAGAGAAATGCAAATGAAAACCACCATGAGATATCACCACACACTTGTCAGAATGGCTATCATCAGTAAATCAACAAACAAGTGCCGGTAAGGATGTGAAGAAAAGGGAACCCTTGTGCCTGTTGGTGGGATTGCAAATTGGTGCAGCCACTATGGAAAACAATATGAAAGGTCCTCAAAAAATTAAAAATAAAACTGCCTTATGATCTAGCAATTCCATTTCTGGGTATTTATCTGAAAAATTCCAAAACACTAATTTGAAAAGATATATGCATTCCTATGGTTCATTGAAACATTATTTACAATAGCCAAGATATGGAAGCAACCTAAGTGTCTATCGATAGACAATTAGATAAAGAAGATGTGGCACATACACATGATGGAATATTACTCAGCCCTAAAAAGGAATGAAATCTTTGTGACAGTACAGGTGGACTTAGAGGGTATAATGCTAAATGAAATAAGTCAGACAGAAAAAGACAAATACCGTATGATCTCACTTATATGTGGAATCTAAAGAACAAAATAAATGAACAAAGCAGAAACAAACTCATAGGTAGAGAATAAACTGATGGTTGCTAGGTGGGAGGCTGATGGGGGACTGGGTGAAAAAGGTGAAGGGATTAAGAAGTACAAATTGGCCATTACAGAGTAGTCACAGGGATGTAAAGTACAGCATAGGGAATATAATCAGTAATATTGTCATAACTATATATGGTGTCAGGCAGGTACTAGGCTTATCAAGGGGATCATTTCATAAATTAGATAAATGTCTACCCACTATGCTGTATACCTGAAACTAATATAATATTGAATATCAGTTGAAATTTACATATATATATATATATATATATATATATATATATATATATATATATATATATATATATATATATATATATATATATATATATATATATATATTTAAAAAAGAGGCCCCTGGAAAAAACAAACGAAACAACCATCCTCTAGAAGTCACACCAATGGGGAAAAAGTGGGTGAAGTCTTTATTCAGAAGAGTAAATGGGTTCTAATCCAGGCTTTGGATCTAACATCTAGGTAACAAAATAGAAAAGAGAACTATGTTGAAGATACTACAAAGAAGCCATAAAACAAATCCAGAAGGCTGCCATGGTTTCTTTAACAAGGGAATGTCATTCTTAAAATAGGGGGTGAGGAGAATGAGGAGGCTATTCTCATTACATCAAAAAATGTAACCAGGGGCCGGCCAAGTGGCTCAGTTGGTTAAGATCTGGAGCTCTCAGCAACAGGGTTGCCGGTTGGATTCCCACATGGGCCAGTGAGATGCACCTGAGCTGAGCAGCTGCTGAGCTGCCCACCATTGGACAGATGCTCAGTGGTTAGAGCCTGTGCTCTTAGCAATAAGGTTTCCAGTTGGACTTCCACATGGGATGGTGTGCTATGCCCACCGCAACTAAGATTGAACACAGCACCTTGAACTGAGCCAATGGCTGGCGACTGGACTTGGAGCTGAGCTAGCTGTGCCCTCCATAACTAAGATTGAAGGACAACAACTTGGCTGTTCCCCTTCCCCAATACTCCAATAAAAAAAAAAAACTTAAAAAAAAAGATGTAACCAAATGCAATGTGTAGTTTGAACTCTGGTCTGAGTAAATCATCTGTAGAAGACATTTTGGATCAGTTGGGGGAATTTGAGTCTGGATTGGGTACAACTTGATACTAGATAATTATTGCTAGCTTTAGCTAATTGTGAAAATGGTAATATGGTTATGTAGAAAGTGTCCTTTGAAAAATGAGATATATATTGTAATATTTAGGCTGGAAATATCACAATATCTATCTTTACCTTAAAACTTCAGCAGAAAACGTGATGTAATAAGGTAAAATGTAAATAACTGTTAAGTATTTGACATAGTTTTTATCGTAATGAGTAAACAACCAGGAAAAAAAAAAAAAGGAACAAGGATTGCTTCCTAAGAAGGCATATGAATCCATTCTTCCAAAGGTGCAGCCAGCAACGCGTGGTCAGGATAGGGCTTCAGGAGCACCTGCGCAGGTCCCTAGGGAGCCCAGACAGAGGAGCAGGGTCCTTTCGGATCGCATTTGTGTGTGAAAAGAACCCAAATGAGCCAATCCAAGAGCCTACGACCCTCTCGCCCTGATCACCTCCCAGGGACGCTGCGGATACGGTCACCTCACTGCCCCCTGAGTGCACCCAAACCACGACGTTCAGGGCGAGGGCGGTCGAATGGCCTGATCTCGGCCGAGCGGCCGAAGGGCAGGAGAAAAGCAGGGTTCCCTAACGCTCGAGCCCTTTACAAGGCGACGAGGCTGGAGCGGCAGGTATCTTTCACTGCACCCACCAGGAAGCACGGCGGAACGGGCCCGGCCCAAGCGGGGCGAAATGGGCGGCACGTGCCCAAGCCACTACCATCACCTGCCGCCAGGAGGGCCGGGGTGGCCGCAGTGGGGGCGGCCGCGCACCTGGCGGCGGGGTCCGCACGCGGCCACGGCGGGCTCTTGAGGAGGGGGGTAGCCGCGCGCCGCGGATCCCGCCGCAGGTGAGGGCGGCGGGCCGGGCGGGTCCCCGTCGCCCCGCGGGGGAAGTTTCTTGGCGGAGAAAGGTGCAATTGTGTGCAGCTATTCCTGGTATGTCAGGCGGGCCCGGAGGCCTCGAGCCGCGGGGGAGCCGCTTCCAGGGGCCCCAGGAGAGGGAAGGCAGCCAAGCGCGCGGAGGCGAGAAGGATGCGGGCTCGGGGGCGCATCCCCTCGGGGAGGAGCTGCGGTCCCAGCGGGCAGCGCCGGAGCGGGAGCGTGGCCCGGGCCCCGGCCTCTGGCGGACGGTGGCATCTCCTGGCCCAGACAGTCTGACCACAAAGGCGGCTGCGGCCGGGGAGCCCTGGGGAGCCGCAGGGGGGGCGGACGGAAGCGGCGACTCGGCGGCCCCGGGTGGGCTGGGGCGGGGCCATTCCGGGGAGGGCGGCGACAGCGCTGCGACTTTTGAAGTCCAAACAGTGGTTGGTGCTGCGCGCCGCCTCTGGTCTCCCGGCCCGGCTGCCCGTGTCCCCTCGGACCTTGGGTCGTTTTCAGGAGTTTAGACAAAGCCACGTCTTCAAGTTTTTTTGCGGGTTCGAAACCTTCCCGAGCTGCAGAGCGCCACCAAAGGAAGGAGAAGCCCGGCGTCTCGCAGCGGGAGCCGAGGCCAGGGCGGCGGCTGCGACGCGCGCCGGCCCCCCGCCGCTCCGCGCGCCCACCGCCCCGCTCTCGCCCTCTCGCCCCAGCCCTGCGAGCCATGGAGGAGGCCGAAGCCGACTGCGCCGTAGCGTTCGCCGAGGCCCAGAGATGGGTGGAGGTGAGTGCTTTCCCTCCGCTCCTTTGCGCGCGGGCTGGTCGGCGTCGCGAGGTGAGAGCGACCCCGGCCACTCGGCGCTGCAGCCTCTTCCTGGGACGGTCACGGGCGCGTGGCAGCCGGCTGGTTTGCGTGTACAGTTTTGCGGGACTTGGCAAGTTCTGATGCTCCTATCTTTTAACGTCCAGCTAAGCTTAGCGCTGCCCTACACTCGACGGTGTCGCGGGCTTCCCCAGAGCAACTCTGCCAGGGCACAGCCGAGCGCTGGCCCACCCGGGTGCGGGGGCCGCTCCTCCTTGTGGATTAGCCCACGAAGGCACCTGGACGCCCGGGATGTCCCCCTGCGGGGCAAAGCCGGCCCAGAGTCCTCGGGTGCGTTTCTTTGGGGTGGCTCGAGGAGATGCCGGACACATACCTGCACGGGCAGTGTATTAAGTGTGTGTAGGGCGGGTGGGTGGGTGGGTGGAGGAGTGTAGACACCTATGCCGCACCTGGAGAGATGCTTTCATCCAGGCAGCTTCCGGAGCCTGGGGGTGGGAGTCAGGGCTCCTACATCTTCAAAGTCGGTGTTAATGAGATAGATACCCTGGGGTCACTCACCGAAGGGTGAGTCACTCACACTTTCCCAGGTGTGCCTCAGAGACAAGGCCATCCATCCCTTTTTAATTTTTTTCTCATTAAAAACGGAATTGTCTCTTGGACTCTTCTTCATCAACATCTTAGGGTTAACATCTGTAGAATGGTAACAGCTGGACTTCTAGCCGTTATTCTACTGCATTTGAAAGATGACTTTTTAAATGATGCTAAAGACGTCTTGCCAGCAGATGGGAACCAGGAACAGCTGCTTGTTAGAAAACTGTTGCCTACATCAGCCTTGTAGTCATTTAGGAGTTATGGATGCCACGTGCTGGCTTATTCATGTTGAATTTCATTCATATTCAATTAATTCATATTTAAATATAGCTTAACATATTTAAACATTCAAATTAGGTTTAGAGATTATTCCACAGGAAAAAAAGAGCATATTTTAAGAATTCCAAAGCAAACCTTTTAAAAATAATTCATTTGTCCTTAAGGAAATAAGTGTATGCACGTGGAAACAGTAAAGAGAGTAAACTTTCAGTGTTACATTTCTTACACTAAATAAAATAATGTGAAACGTGAGTAGCACTACCCATCAGACAGTAGGGAAGGTCTAAAAAATTGGCTTTTAGTGTTTTTTGGACCCAAACTTTGAGCTAGTCTGAAGGTGACTTAGGTGTGAGAGGAGGGCCTGGGGAGGTTGGGAGAAGCATAAACACTGTATTTTGAATTGAAATGAGAGTAGAAAAATTCCAGCAATGTAGTTAAGAGAAATAACCCCTCATTCATAAACTTGGACAAGTCAAAGCTTCCAGAGGTAATTTTCCATTAGCAGTGTTTGTTCTGCATAGTTTTAGAAAAGAAATTAAACTTGCCCTTTTTGTGTTTGAGTGTTGGGGATGGAGGGAGAGAGAAGGGAAGAAATATGGGGACATTTTTGGGTCTTATACACTCCTGTGTGGAGTTTATATCTGCATGCTTCATATTTGCTTCAGGAAATCTGTGAATATGGATAATTTCACCCCCCCCTTTTTTTTAGTATGCAAATTTTTAAAGCCTAAAAGTCCCTTGTTTGCCATAGCTTGGTCATAATTGTTTGGATTTCTGTGAGAAAGTTGTGTCTAATAAACTCGGAAGTGTTTTGTGATAAAAGATGTTCATAGTGCATAATAAATATGCTCATCTTCCCACTTCCATCCCACCCCATCTGAAAAGTGTTTTTCAGCAATGATTTGGCAACTCTATAAAGTGTTTTGTTCATCATTAGCAGACAGCCAGATCTTTCTAAAGGGTTTGGCATATCATTTTAATATAATTAATGAAATTAAAATTAAGTGATTTTTTAGTTCTATGCTGCAGGGAGCGTTCATTGAAGATATGTGAATAATGGATATAGTTACATACACTTCGGTCAACTCTGGTCATTTGAAGTGACAGCAGTGCATTTACTCTTAGGTTTATTTATTTATTTTTATTTAGTATCCAAATTTACTTGTTTCCTTAGCTTTGCCTTTATAACCAAAGCACATATTTTGAAATATTGTTCTTGCCAAAAGAAGCAGGATGAATGATTCCCTCGTTGCCACAGACTCTTTAACTCCGAGAATCCTTAATTTGAAGAAAAAATATTGTTTCCAAAGTATATTTTATAAATTATTTTGGAAAGCGAGGAAGATTATAGTGTAAGTTTCTCCTGCTTGCTAAATAATATTCTTGCTCCACTTTTTCCTTTCTGTTATACTTCCCTCTACATATATTGAAGTGTAAGTGGATTGTTTATATATATATATATATATATATATATGTGTGTGTGTGTGTGTGTGTGTATATATATATATGTATCTATACATATGTTTTATATTATAGGTATGTTACATATAATATAATCTGCTACCTTTATTTTCAACTTCACCTTTGAATAGCCCAAGGTCAAGAAACTCCAATTATCTTGTAAAACTTTGCGTGATGACCAGAGTCCATGTCAGTATGTCTTTGCCGTTTCCATTCTCCATTTGTGATTTTAAATAGCTAATGTATTATTGCCACAACAAAAGTTAAAGTTTTATTTATTTTATTTTTTGGGGGAGGGGAGGAGAAAGGGTGAGGTAAGGGCTAGTGGTTGTTATTCTGCCAGTGACTATCTTTTTGTGAATATTTATTTCTGTACTTAGATACTTTAGAATGTATATATACTTCACTTCTGGTTAGTTTAATTCTCCCATTCAAAACAAATGTAGGAAGTGCCCTTTAAGGTAACTCAGCATAATGATATTGGATATTATCTGGCTGGAAATGCTGTTTGGAATATTAATAATGTAGCAGAGCTGGTTTATGATTAAACACTGGTTTAAAACCAAATAGTATAATGGTTTGAGGCAAAGGCAGAGGGGGAGCTTGATTCTAGCAAGGTCACAGAAATGGTAGAAAATGCAGGCTGACCTCTCTAAGTTTAGTCCTTTTCTGCAGCGCCTTTTAATTTTCTAGGCCTAATAGTTTCCTCTGCCTCTCTGTTTTGGGGACATTAAAATGCCTGGTAGTAAACAGACAAAACACCAATGAGATTGAAAGGTGGGTATTTGGCTCATTGCATTGGTTGGTCCACCAGTTTCCAGTCTGTGAGTTGATGTTCCTCTCTGGGTGCATGTTTAAATGCAGCAGTCATTTTTATGGCTAGAGCAGAAGAGGCCACCATAATTCATCACCTTCCTGCTCACCGGCTCTTCTTCTTATCTCTGAGTTCGATTCTTTTAGTATCGCTGTCACCTTGTAGAAGGACCGAAGGGATGCCAACAGGGCTCACTGCCAAGCCTGGCACCAGAATATGAATCCTTCCCTAGCAGCTTCCAATTGATCTGTTTCTCCACCTGCCCCTATCACCACCTTTGTTTACCTTTGGTGCTAAAATATTCAAGAATTGCACTCTGTGGGTCCCCCATTAATAGAGGCAAAATCCTTCCAAGTGGTTTTAGTCTTTCTCTGTACACTGCATCCCATGCACTCCCATATACTGGTGGTTTCCACTCGGGTCCGGTCGGAAAGGTTTTGCCCCGTGTTGGTGAATCCTCCTTGCACGCCGGTGTGGTCTGCAGGCTAGATAAAGCTCTCATGGATTTGTGCTGTTGCTTTCCGGATATATCAGAGCGGCATAATGTTCGTTTGAAAATGTTACTGAATTCATAGAAGCTTTTTTGGTAGTTGCATGTAATTATAATTAACAGATATTGAACTTGAAATTCTGATGAATGTTAGAAAGCAATGCTTTTACAGCTGTTGCAGCACAATTATTTTTTCAAAATGCAAACCTCATTTTGTTATCCTTGTTTTCTGGGGAGTCGTGAGAAGACTTTTAAAATCCACAATCCTGACATAACGCTGTGAAGTGTCCCATTCACAACCTTTTACAATCTGGTCTCTGCCTCTATAGCTATCTTTATTTTGGGGTCATTTTCTCTATAACTATTTGCATAGTTGCCAGATAGCATAGCGATTAAGAGCACAATTGTGTACGTTACATACCCAGTACTAATTTATCTTTTCACTGGAAGTTTTTACCTTTTGACCACCTTTAGGCAATTTATGGTGACTATAGGTAACATTGCTGTCTGGTATATTTGAAAGGTGCTAAGAGAGTAGAGCCTCTCATCAGAAGGAAAAAAGGGAACAAAGGTGTTTTTTTTGTTTGTTTTTTTTTTGTTTTGTTTTTAACTATATGAGGAGATGGATGTTAGCTAAACTTAACGGTGGTAACATTTCGCAATATTTGTATGTCAAGACGTGCAGTACTCCTTAAATGCACAGAGATCTATATGTCAGTTATATCTCAATGCAAATGAAAAAAAGATGGGGAAAGGAAGAGCACAGTTTGGAATCAAATCATTGTTCAAGTCCTGTCTCTGCTGCTTACCTCCCGTGGCCTCAGTTTTCCTTTCTGAGCCTCCCGTGCTGGCTGTGCCATTGAATAACCGTAACGCGGTCAGTGCTGCCTGGTCGTGGCCTGTGTTTCCCCACACACAGGATGCTGTTTTCTCACTTCCAGGCTGTGGTGCATGGACTACTCCTTATTTCATATGCACCTAATACCCGTTACCCCTCTTCATTCCTCCATCCTTGGGCTAGAATCAGCCTTTATGTGACGCCTTTTCTGAACCACCAAACCGTCACCCCCACCATTTATTTCTTCCTCTCCTCACTGCTGGTGTAGCTCTTCCTTTCTGCACGCTGTGTTATAATTCCATCCAGTTTTCCATATTAGACTGTGAACTAACTGAGGGCAGGAACAGTATCTTATCTTTGGCTCAAGGATTTGGCATGGTGCCTGATAAATGCTTGTTGAATGAAAGTGTAATCTTAAGGCTGTCTCTTTAACTAAATTAAAAACTAGGGTTTTAAGGACCAGCGCCATCAGATAATTGCTATAATGG